GGATCGCTCGAAGCACGTTGAGAAAGTAGAGGTGGCCTTCTTCGTGCGGCAAGCACCGGGAAGCCTGCCAGCGTAGGCGGATGCTTGTCGCCAGGTGGCGCAAGACGTCGGTCGGGACTGGGACGCCTGCCTCGGCGACGGTGATGGCTGCTGCCCAGATCTGGCCTGTGGTCCACGCTTCGGCCGTCGCCTGGGCCTTCTTCTTCTTTGCCGCCGTGCGCTGCAGCCAGCCGACAAAGGCTTCAGTCGCAGCCTTGTAGCGGTGCCATCGGCCCGACGGCTCGGTTGACCCTCCTGTTGCCATCGGGCGAAGTCCTGATGTTCGCGTCCAAACCAAATATTGCGCCTAATATAACGAGCAATGAACCTAAAGTAAGGGCATGATGTCCTGGTTCTGCTCTGGAATGATGTCTTCAAGTTGCACTCTGAAAAGCTCGACGTCATTTCTCCAGACGCGCGTCTGGATGAGCGTCGGAATCGCAGCCTGTACTGTGGTGCGAGTTCTTGCAACTTGCGAGAGCTTTTCGCCTGCTGGCAATCGGCACCGTTGTGCTGGCGATATATGAGTGGGTCTGGCTGCTGCGTGGAAACCAACGCAAAGTCACGAGGTAGTTGCTTTCCAAGGGCCAATAACCGGTGACGCTTGTCTATCTCGACGCATGCAGCATGCCTACTCCTCTCTCAATGGTGCACGGTGTTGGATCAGGATACAAGATTGCAAGTCCATCGCTGGCGCAAACGACAGTCGTTGGTAGTCAGGTTTCTTTCATGTAGCGTGGTTGCAAGTGCTGGCTACGCCCGCGAGTACGAATACGCGTTGAGGTTGAGTCCGAGTTGCGCGAGGTCGTGGAGCACTTGGGCCTTGACGTCGATGACATTTTCAAACGCCACGTCGTGCATCGACATGGAATGGTGCAGACTCTTGGGCGCCACAATGTGCATGGACGCGCGTCGCAGGCGCGTGAGGCCGTGCTGCCGCGTCGCGCGCCGCTGGTCCCGGGACGCGGTCATGACGAACGCAAACTCCTTCCGAATCACATGCGACAAGTACAACGTTGGCGCGACCTCGACGCAGATGTACCCGTGGTAGTTCTACTCAGTGCCAGCATTGATGTATACCAAGCGGTAAGCGTGCCAACCTCGATCGAGAGAAGACGCTGGACACTGCCGGGCGTCGCTTGCTCCGTGAAGCGGACCATGTGCATGACGAGGCTGTTCCAGCCCCGACGGGCCGCCCAGTGCAGCGGTGTGTCGCCCTAATGATCCTCAAAATGTCATCTCCGACTACGATCTTTGTGGTCGACACACGTGAAAGTCTTGGTGGCTCACGCAAGCGCCCTCGCTCAAAAGAAGTTTGACGACGTCGAGTCGCCCGGCGCGCGCCGCCTCGATGAGCGGCGTCGTTTTGCTCAGCACCTAGCCGGATTCGGAGCGCCGATCACAACGCCGTTGTAGGTTCGTACGCTGTCGACGGCGTCCACGTCGGCGCCCATACGCAAGAGGTACTCGACCACGGCCACATGGCCCCACCTACACCGCTCGCACGCATGTTTACAAGCCCGCGCATCGCACCAGCAGGCCGTGTGCAGTAGTGTCCGGCGGCCTTCGTCAACGTCACGGTTGTGCAATACAAGCAGTCTACACCGTCGCTATGTAGTGAGGTGTACAGTAACAAGGGACGACACGCACTTGGCAGGCGACTCGATGAGAAAGTACTTTTGGAGCACGTCGAGTTTGCCCGTTTTGGTCGCCGCCCAAATGTCGCCGTCGTACTTCATTAGAAACTTGCGCGCTTCGGCCCGCCGGACCTTCTCGTCGTCCGTGTCGTCGTCGCCTTCTTCGACGTCGGCCCGCGCCTTGCTCACCTCGTGGAGTCTGCGCTTGTCGGCTTCGTTTTTCAGTCTACGCATTATTCCATCGACCGAGGAACGCGTTCCATGCATGTGCGTACTTGTATTGCTTGGAGCGCCGGCCATGCAGGATCTTGTCTTTGGCCTACCGCTCCATGCGTCGAAAGAGAGAAGGGAGGAGGCGTGGTGTACCTTGCTGGACGAGGCCGTGAGATCGACCATCTTGGTGGTGTGCTTGCTGCTCGCGTCGTCGTCGGGCTCACCGGCTTTTCGGAGCAGCTTGTTGCGCCGATCGCGCTCTCGCTCCTCGCGCTTGGCCCGGAGCTTGGACGGCAGCTCCTTCTTGCCATCGGTGGCCGCCGGCGTTGTTTCCACGGGCATTGGCATCGGGGCGCCGCTGCCATCGGCCTCGTCATCCATGAAGAGGGACTGCGCGAACGCCTCCACTTCGCGGCCACGGTCCTCCTCGG